TTATGCATGCATGTACTATCAAGGTTTGGGGAAAGATTGTTGAGCTAAACTGGATAGACTTTGGGTAGTGGAATGAAGGAATCCACCATATGAGGACCTTGAAATTATAATACCCACCTAGTGTTTGATAAAATGCTCAAATGAGCTGGAAACATGAACTCCTTCCTAATTTGTGTTCAATTTTGCTATATCTCTAGATAGATCAAAGTTGCTAGGATTTTCGGAACTGTGTAGTGAATTAAGAAAAGCTCAAAGTGAGGTATGTTGTCAAAACTCCTCTTTTAGAATTGAACCCCACAATGGCCTTGTAAGTCCCGTGTTGCTCATTATAAATTGATTATTCCGAATAAGCCTCGTGTCAAAAGATATATGCGTTCAATATGTATTCCAAATGTTTTTGCTATGTTGAGTTACTATTTGAGAATGTGATTTAGGTATGGGTTGTGTGTTAATATGTTATGACTTGAAAACATATTTCTAATGAAAGCTATCATGTCGAATTGTGTAAGAAATCACATGTCCCTAAGACCCTTAATTGCTCAGATGGGTACTTAAAGTCTTGAATAAAAATGTTTGTTGTTGACGATCCGCGATGATGTTTGAAAGTGAAACAGTAAGTATGGAATATGAAATACGTCCGACGTGCCAAAAATGATATTACATTCGAGGCCATTAGTTCCAATAAAACAAAGAGGCATGAACAAGATGTTAAAATGAGTTGTGAATCTTTTTAATAATAAATGCTTTGGGAGTATCGTTTAGTCACTGAGGAAGGGTAGGTCAAAATAACCTAACCCTGAAACTACACATGTCGGTGTAGTAGTGATTGAGGGGTAAATACCCGTGTTAATGTGATGAGATTGTTTCCCCTTATATGATATGAAAATGATGTGTTGAGATGTTTCCCCTTGAATGGGATGAGATTATTTCTAGCGAAATGTGATGTGATGTCGATCCACACGGCATTGTGGTGAGACGGCTTAGTCGATCGGGTTGAGATCGGACGACATGCCACGCACATGGTGGTATTGTGAGTGGATATCTTGAGGTGAGATTGCTTAGCTGGTTGGGCTGAGATCGGACTCCGTGCTAAAAATACGATGGTGTATTGGTACTAAAGATCTCCCAACTTAAAAAGATTGAAACTTACTTGAAATTATCTTTCCCCTAACTTGACACCTTGATGTGGTTTGAGTCTCTTAATGATTTCATGTTCCCTTCTCCGTTTACCGTTATTTGTTCTAATGAGAGGGTGTTTAGTTTTACATATTAGTACTATTCCATATGTACTAACGTCCCTTTTGTCGAGGGCACTACATATTTAATAGATACAGGTGGTATTGATCAGTGACAACAACACACCCTCTCCTCAAATGACTTGGTAAACCCCACTTCATTTCGGGGTCCTGTATCTCTTGTCCTTTGTACATAGCATTTTGAGGTATAGCCGGGGCCTTGTTGCCGACACTATCTTAGCACATTTTTGTTTCTGTTAGAGGCTCCGTAGACATAGTGTGAGTTGTATCTTATTTTGGGAAGGTTGAAATAAAAATGTTATAATTGTATCATCTGTTCCACTTGAACTATGATTGTATAGTGTACTATTTTAGGAATTTGTTAATGATGTAACTTGTGAAAATGAACATGTGTTGTACACATGGCCCCTTACCGTCTAATTAATGAAATGTATTCTTTTCTTTATTCATGGGTGAGTTGGGTAGACGACATTGTGCAGGCTTGCTCGACCAGGGTAACTCTGTTGAGCGCCGGTCGCGCTCCCCAAGGTCGGGGCGTGACAGAATTTTGAATAATCATGAAATTGGTGAGAGATTGACAGAAAGGAAGCTGAAATAATCTATGACAAATAGCTCTGATTTTGAAGACAACAGAATAATCATGATGGTTTAATTTTTGCCTCAATGTACTTAATGAGTTAAGTTGCAAGGAAGAAATGAACAAAATAAAACTCAATGTACTATAAATTAAAATGAATCAAACTACACCTCAACCATAAACTGTTAGGGATCAGCAGATGATTCCTCTATATGGTCCATTTTATTTGTGCCATTGGCCATTTCATTCAATTATGAATCATTTATATTAAATTGCTGGTTCAATCCAGACGCAAGTTCAAAATTTACGGTCATTATTCAGAATAAGTGTAATTTTTATGAAACAACAATAACAATATACCCAGTAAAGTCTCACAAATGAGGTATGGGCAAAGAAGAGATGGTGTTTCCGATAGACTATCTTCTAAAGAAATGCATAATTACCGCAAATAAGATAAGGAAATGCGACAAAGGAAAATCCATGTAAAGATAAACAGTAATCACAGTCAGAAAAAGATAACCGAAGCAAAAGCAATACAGGTCTGAAATATAAAAATAGGGAACACGAGAATACTCTAGTACTACAGGAATAACAAGCAATACATGTACGAAAAAGAATTACACTTGATGTCTTTCTAACCTACTACCTTAATCCTGGATCTCCACACCCTCCTATCAAGGGTCATGTCCTTGACAAGCTGAAGATGTGTCATGTCCTGCCTAATCACCACTCGTAATACTTCTTCGGTCTACCTCTACCTCTCCTTGGCCCCACCATAGCCAACCTCTCACACCTACTCACCGGGATCTGTGCATCTCATCTTCACATGCCCAAACGTTCTCAATTGTGCTTCCTGCATCTTATCCGCCACTGTGGCCACTCCTACCTTGTCCTGAATATCTCTTCATTCCAAATCATATTTCTCTTACTATGTCCATATATCCATCTCGATATCTTCATTACCGTTACTTTCATTTTCTGAACATGAGAGGTCTTGACTGGCCAATACTCCGCCCCATACAACATAGGCGGTCTAACAACCACTCTGTAAAATTTATCTTCAAGTCTCAGTGGCACCTTTTTATCATACAAGACGCCAGATGCGAGTCTCCATTTCATCTACTCCGTTGCAATACGATAGGTGACATCATCATCAATCTTCCCATTACCTTGCATATTAATGCGAGAAGTTTTGGGCATGTGAAGATGAGATGCACAGATTCCGGTGAGCAGGTGTGAGAGGTTGGCTATGGTGGGGCCAAGGAGAGGTAGAGGTAGGTCGAAGAAGTATTGAGAGTGGTGATTAGGCAGGACATGACACATCTTCAGCTTGTCAAGGACATGACCCTTGATAGGAGGGTGTGGAGATCCAGGATTATGGTAGAAGGTTAGAAAGGCGTCAAGTGTAATTCTTTTTCATACCTGTATTGCTTGTTATTCCTGTAGTACTAGTGTATTCTCGTATTCCCTATTTTTAGATTTCGGACCTGTATTGCTTTTGCTTCGGTTATCTTTTTCTGACCGTGATTACTGTTTATCTTTACCTGGATTTTCCTTTGTCGCATTTCCTTATCTTAATTGCGGTAATTATGCGTTTCTTTAGCAGAGAGTCTATCAGAAACATCTTTACTTTTCCCAGACCTCATTTGTGAGACTTTACTGGGTATGTTGTTATTGTTGTTTCACAGAGATTACACTTATTCTGAATAATGACTGTAAATTCTGAACTTGCGTCTAGATTGAACCTGCAATTTAATATAAATGATTCATAATTGAATGAAATGGCCAATGGCACAAATAAAATGGACCATACAGAGGAATCATCTGCTGATTCCTAATAGATTGTGGTTGAGGTGTAGTTTGATTCATTTTCATTGATAGTACATTGAGTCTTAATTTGCTCGTTTCTTCCTTGCAACTTAACTCATTGAGTACATTGAGGCAAAAATTAAACCATCATGATTATTCTGTTGTCTTCAAAATCAGAGCTATTTGTCATAAATTATTTCAGCTTCCTTTCTGTCAATCTCTCACCATTTTCATGATTATTCAAAATTCTTGTTGTTGTCAGTTTAAACTGTTGGTCTGTAGCCTTGAATTCATTCCTTTGATTCAAAGTATCATCAGTTGTTGCCATTTTAATGGACGGAATTCACCGTCTGTCTTTACTAATTTGCTCTCAGAAAAATACAACACACAGTATATCTTTTGTAAGACTTACTAACATACGTATAGATGCGCTTCAGTGTACTTGGACTAACTGCAAAAAAGAATATACAACGAGATAATCAACATTTTTGCTTTCGTCACACGTCAACTTTATATTGAAGTGTGACCAACTCATCCAAAAGTTAAAGCCGTTAGAGATGGAACATTTTAATTTACTTAATTATGTTTTCAACACGACCCCTGTCACATACGAGTTTGGTTCATTTTTAATGGTCATGCACATAGAAATTCCCTTTGATATATATTGGGTTGCACCGAGACTTGAATCTCGGCTTCTTCATGTTTTAATACCATGTTAAATTGTGTGGCCAACTTGTTTAAAAGCTTATGCTGTTGGAGAAAGCGCACTTTACTTACGTAATTATTCTGCAATACTTCAGCTGCTGTTAGAACCTTCATGCACTCTTATTAGACATAAACTCTCCTAATTTCTCATAGATTATATTAAAGCTCTATTATTTCTCTAAACGAGTAAAGATTTGAGCTGAAAGATATCATTAGAAGAAACTTGAGTATCAGATTCTAATTTAGGTCTTATGATTACCAGTGGTCTCAATTTTCTGCAGGAATTTCCTTTTCAAATTGTTCTTCTAGAACACGCCGACTAATTTCATGGGCAAATACTGTATTTATACCTAACTAAATTAGAAAGAAAATAATTGTGGTTAAGGGACAGTGGAACATTTGTCCTCTAAAGATAAATTTTTTACACTAACTTTTTTTCTTATTGTAAGGTTGATAAGAACTTCTCGGTTTCTGCTATTAAAAAAAGAGGGTGGCCCGATGAACAAGGCATCCCGTATTCCCGCAGGGTCCGGAAAAGGGCCGCACCCCAAGGGGTATGATATAGATAGTCTATTCTAATACAAGTATTAATGGCTTACTTTGTCTAACATTTGTTTCTTTCTTGGAAAATAGATAGAAATATTAAACCAGAATCAGATGATGGAAAAACAAGGAATATCATTCTTAGAGTATTGAAAACCTCTAGAATGTAACACAAGTTGTGTACACTAAAAATAAGGGACATATATCGTGTACATAATCAGTAAAATCAATTCAAGGGCTCAACCAACATCTTCATTGTAGTTCTTCCTAATGATCTTAAAGTGTGCATTCCATACTCTAAATCTGAATCGCAAGTTATTGCAATCCAATCGTTATCTTCATCTTCATACTTGATAGAATAACTTCCAATAAGTACTAATTTCAATCTCTTTTCAACTTCTGTTTCCAAATCAATTTTCCCCGATGAAAGAGAGAACGGAAACCTTATAGTCACATCTTTGTAAGTTACCTTTACGCTCATGGCGTTGTCACTCTGAAATGTAGCCGTAGGTTTCTTCCTCTGAGTCAACGTCGTAGTTGTATCCATTCCATTAGACAGACCAGCATGTGGTAGCTGCAGGTCTTCTCGACTGGAATTCCCCGTCTGGTTTTCAACTCTTTTTACTGGTTTGTTTTCAGAAAGCGAGCATACATCATTTGCAGACTTACTACGTGGCCACCTGTATATATCGTAGTCTCTGCACATCCGCTTCAAGGTACTTCGAGCAACTGCAAGAAAAAAAGTTAGCATCAAGCTTGGTGAATGTTTATGAAGTTGCGAAATGCCTATATTGAAAAGATATGCTTACCTCCTAAACTCTTTGCAGCATCAGAAAGTTTCTTTCCAAATTGTTCTTCTAGAACACTACGACTAATACCATACTCCTTTTCTATCCTCTTTATCCTTTTATGTTTCTCTGGACAATTATGGGAATTTGCATTCTCTTCGACGTGCACAGAATGCCTTCGTTTGTCGCCTACATCAGCTTCCTCCACTCTCTGCTGATGTGCCAAATCTGGCTGTGTACTTTCTCCTCTCTTCTTTGACTGAAGATTCAATTGAGTATCACGTCCATAATCCGCAGTTATAATTTCTTCTAAATCAGATGAACTTGAAGGATCAAAACCAAATATTTGATTGATGGTGTCATATTGTACCATCGAGGGAAGTTGACGATGGCCTATTTCGAAGGAATCAAGTTTTTCATCAAGCGAAGCTTTATCAGTAGACAAGTTTTGCTGCAATTTTTTCTCTGAAACAGCAAATGATGTTGCAAGTATGAAATGTACAGAACTCTTTTCTTTGTCCATTGCATCAGCTTCCTCAACTCCTTGTTTGTGTGCTGAATCTGGCAGCACAGTTTCTTCTCCGTTATCAGGAGTATCCTTTGCAATTTCCATGTGATGAGCTCCTATGTCAGTTGAACTCGAAGGTCCTAAATCAGCGGAATCTTTATTCAACGAATCAAAAAGCACCATCTTTTCGTTTCCCTTTGATCGAACCCCTTGTTGTAGTTGGCTTATCTCAAAGGAATCAAGCTCATCAACAGGAGCAATTCTGATAACCTCAACAAACAGGCTTGGTCCTGAATCAAGGAAAAAGCTCAGAAGTTGCTCTCGAATTGTGGCTAATAGCTTGCTCAAGAAACTGTGGATTTCTATCGAGCGTCTCATCATTAGGTAAAAAGAATTCTAGTACCATGTGGCATGCACTATTCAGTCTCACAAAAATTGCAAAACAGGCGGTAAATCCAGCACAGCGTGCAATTGGTACGAAGGGGTAAAAATCTATGCTCAATTGAGTTATATCTCTGCAAAAACATGAACCCTTTGATGAAAGCACTTTTCCAACCAATCCTTGACCAATCCGTACATGATGTAGGTCACTAACAGCCAAAAATTCAAGAGACGTTATCTCTTCACTCCAATATTTGGTTGGGGGCGAGGTGATCAACATTTGTGTTCTACTTGAATCAAGCACAGAAATCCAAGTTTGAGCAAAGAGTAACCTGTGAGTCTTACATGTTACTTCCAAGGCCTCCTTTACTTTAGCAAGTTCTTGCTCCCATACTTCTTGTATCTGCTTTGAGCAAATTAAATTACATAAATAGAGTGGAGGTGGGAAAGAGAGAGACTTCATGTATTGTTCAAGATAGAAGGGGAGCCTTGGCGTAACTGGTAAAAGTTGCCGCCATATGACCAGGAGGTCATGGGTTCGAGCCGTAGAAACAACCTCTTGCAGAAATGCAGGGTAAGGCTGCGTACAATAGACCCTTGTTGTCCGTCCTTCCCCGGAACCCGCACATAGCGGGAGCTTAGTACACTGAGCAGCCTTTTTTTTTTAATGTATTGTTCAAGATAAATGTTCAACTTTTCACTTGCTTATAGAGAAATGCATAATGAGGAGAGTTTACCTCTTGCGAGCATGCTAACCATGAAGGAATGAGAGCTAGACCCATTGTCTGCAAATAATATAAGGTTCAGGGTAGAATGAAATACAACTAAAAGCGAACTAGGCTGTACTCGAGCATTTAGAGGAAGCCTAATTGCAATTGATATTCAATTTTGATATTCAATCATGTGGGGAATTTACCCAACTTATTCGCGACTAAGTCGTAGTAGTAGTAGTCGTTATTGTCGTTGATGACAATGAGCAATCCAATGAGGACAGAAGACTAAGAACTCTAATGTTATGAGAATCCCAACAACAATCATTATTTTCTAAGTTTCCACCAAAGCCAACATGGAAAATAGCAATGGTACAGAAGGAGTAACCATCAAAAGTGGTTATCCTGAGGACTCCTAATCCACAAATTCTTGAAATGTTTCACTTTCGAGTTGTAAGCAAAATTCTCAAGACTATCAAAAGTTTCATTTGCCCAAGTTACTTGATGTAGTGAACTTGAAAACTTCCACTTATTTAATTGAAACCTGAGTGGAATTAACTCCAACATGCATGTCGTGTGACTTCTGTTTATCAAGGTTTTTCAGTCACAAAATTACTTGAGAACATTGCATTTCTTGTGGTCATGCTTATGAGGATATATAATCTAGCTCATAAAAGCTGATGGTGTAGTCGGTTGTAGCTATCTCTTAGGCGACTTTATAGTGTAAAACTATCTTTTATATTGACAATATATAGAAGTTAAACTCTACAAAAAGTAGGGGGCATATAGGATATACCTTAAGTATTCTGTGATTGTTGATGAGACGGTCTAAGGTAGAGTAAAGATCAAGACCTACATTTGCTTCGAAAGCATATTCCAGTACGCCAATGCAACGGTCACCTGAACTCTCAAACACTGGCAAAGTCCAATAGCTACCTACTCCCAAACACATTGCGAAATTGCGCAAAGGGTATTCATCCATGTAATAGTATCTGACATGAGGGCTGAATTCAGGCATTCCACTTCTGAAGACGCGCGCTGGACGGCCATGAACATGGACGCGTTTAGTTTCATCGATCTCTGTGGAGTCCACGGACGCTATTGTGAGAAGAGATACGCGCCTGTACGCCCACAGACCCTCGTGAATCTTGCCATTAAAAGCAAAAGGCTGGTCTGCTGTTGTTAAGAAAGTCTTCCCACTGTTAATCCTTATAGGTGCCCAAAATTGAATCAAACAAGTACCTTGAACATCAAGAAGCTCGACTAGATTCTTGATTGTCAATCTGTTCAATTGACTGTCACCATTTGTATCAGGTTGAGTAGAATCTCCTTTTCAATGAAAAATCGAGCAAGATTGACGTTAGAGAATTTCGAAACAAAACAACTTAATGATCTCTAATAAGGGCAGCCCGGTGCACTAAGCTCCCGCTATGCGCGAGGTCCGGGGAAAGGCCGTACCACAAGGGTCTATTGTACGCAACCTTACCTTGCATTTCTACAGGAGGTTGTTTCCACGGCTCGAACTCATAACCTCCTGGTCACATGACAACAATATTACCAGTTACACCAAAGCTCCCCTTCAACTTAGTGATCTCTAATACTCAACAGAAATTAAAAGATACATGAATTTCATTGATACTAAAAATGGATAAAATTCCGGATATTTCTCAAGAAAAATTACAAGACATCACTGTTATGACTCATATTATTTACAGGCTATGTAGGCTTAAAATGATTCTCAATTATTTCAGTAACTGTCCACTAACTAATTTTGCTTTCTTAACAGCTCCTTTCCCAATTCATTACAAACAACAATTACAACTCAATGTCGAGCAAGTTGAATCGGCAATATGAATTCTCACAAATCATTTCACTCCATTTAATCTCAGCTCAGACCAATATTATACAACAAAAAAAAATGCAATTTCAAAAAAAAAAAAGGAAAAAAAGACCAAGGCCACAAACACAAACAAAGAAATAGAAGAACTTACTGAGAACTGGAAAGAGGGATTTAACTTGGTTCAACTCATCACCATTATGCTGAGTCCAAAAAACCCACCGATTAATGCCATCACCTCGTTTTCTGTAAGAAAATTTCAGTTCAATAGGCATGATTAAAGAATTTATTATAACAAATCAAGAATCACAGTCCTCCTAATTACTTTCCTCTCTCTCATTCTAAGTTGTGAAAATGAACACAATCCATTTAAATATGCCAACTTAGAATATAATCAACCAATAAAAAAGAGAGAGAAGAACTTATGAAAGCACATAAATTTTGTACGTAGTTCTTTGTCTAGGCCACATAGGCTAGTCTGTATAAATTTTCATTTTTACTTCTCTTACTCAAACAATCCAAAAGGTCCATATCCAATCAGAGATTATACACCAAAAAGGAAGGTACTCTGACATGGCTCTTACTGGGTGAAGTGCAACAATAATCACTTTTAAGCACTCTATTTAAAATATATTTATTGTATTTAAAGATTAGCCAATTCACCCAAACTTCAGGACTAAATTTTCTGAATTTCTGAACTATTAATTTAAAATTCAGAACATAAAATTTGAACTTTAAATACAATTTTCGAACAATTTTGAGGTTTAAACTCTAGGACGCCGTATCCTTAAGTTTGAACGAAATTGGCTGATCTTTAAATACATTATAAACTGTTGATATATCTTAAACAACATGCTTAAAAGTGGCTACCTGGTGTCATTTTCACGAGTATAAAACTATTATATTTAGAAAAGTTTAACCAATATACATATCAACAATAACAACAACATACCGAGTGTATTTTTATAAGTGTGGTCTGAGGAGGATAGTATGTAAGCAGACCTTATTCCTACCTTGTGAAGGTATAGAAAATATTTCGGTAAATCCCCGGCTCAAGGAAAGTATAATCAAAGCAGTAATGAGTAATGACGAAGAACTACGGAAAGGAAAACAGTAACGGCAGCCAGAAAATTAATGAGAAAATGACCCTCTATAACCCCTCAAAATTTTAATAGCCCATGGTTTTCCCCATTGACACGAAATGTCCCTCCGTCCCAAACATATTACATCTAATAGCTCGAAATATTTATTTTGTATATTTTTTGTATAGTGACAGTCTATTTTGTATATATTTTGTATAGTGACAGTCTATTTAGTATATTTTTTGTATAGTGGCAGTCTATTTAGCATATTTTTTGTATAGTGACAGTCTATTTTGTATATATTTTGTATAGTGACAGTCTATTTAGTATATTTTTTGTATAGTGGCAGTCTATTTAGTATATTTTTCGTATATATTTTGTATAGTGACAGTCTATTTAGTATATTTTTTGTATAGTGGCAGTCTATTTAGCATATTTTTTGTATAGTGACAGTCTATTGTGTATAGTGACAGTCTATTGTATATAAATTGTATAGTGTCAGTCTATTTAGTATATATTTTGTGTAATGACAGTCTATTTTGTATATATTTTGTATAGTGGCAGTCTATTTAGTATATTTTTCGTATATATTTTGTATAGTGACAGTGTATTATATATAAATTATACAGTGATAGCCTATTTTATATATTTTTTTTTTTTATAGTGACAGTCCAGACTTTGATTGCACTCGTGGTGTAAGATTGGAGAAGTATAGGAAGTATACTGCTCATATAATCATTATTGCTGATTTTTGCACATGCATTGCTCTTTGCTATGTGGTTGTGAGCTGGGAAATAGCTCTCTTTTCTAAAGCTAATTGCCGACTAATGCTTCTAAAACACGATAGAACGCCATTGGTACTTCGAATTTGATAAGAAGAATTCAGTTCCAAAGACACGAGGAGCATTTGGTTTAAAAATTAGTTTCGAACAAGCTGGCACGCAGTGGGTCTATCGGAAACAGACTCTCTATCTCTATGAGGTAGGGATAAGGTCTACGTACGCACTACCTTTTCCAGATCCTATTTATGAGATCAAATTGGGCTTGTTATTGTTGTTGTTGTTGTTGTTGACAGTCTATTTTATATATACCTTCCAGTACATTCTTGCCTTGTACACTACCACTTACCAAGACATAATTGGAAAATTAAATGACCAATTGCATATATGAATTTAAAAGTTATAACCAGAATTGTATTCTTCTTTTCATAAATTTCCTTTTCTTTCTAATTTGATGAAACCATGTAAGCCAAAAAAGATTATAGCTCGTCAAGAAAATAATGGAAATAATTGTGTGATCCCTCACAAAATTTGCCAATTGGCAACATTGGTGATTGATGTAATTCTCCTTAATTCATAGTTCCAATGTTTTCAGTGGGAGTATTATTTATTGACACTAAAATTCAAAATTCTTGCAAATGGAAAATAATGTAAATGGTTATACGTGTCCTCTGGCTAATTATCGTGCTTCACGATTAAACAAACAAATAAAAAGAGCAAAATTCTGAAAAGCAGAACTCCCCAGCTATTTGTTTCACTGAAAAGCAGAACAAGCCTCGAGATTTCACCAGAAAATTCATAAAACCCCAAGATATTTTTCTGCAAGATTTTACCTTTAACCAACAAAGCAAACATCTTTATAATCCTCAAATAAAACTACATCTTCTACCCCTTCTGCTCCGATCTTCTTGTTGATCATTCTTATTTTGTGAGATGTTTGAAATTTTTGGGAAAAAATAGAAAAATTGTTGAAGAAAAACATATTTTTTCTTATAAATTTTCCTTACTCCAATTGATGAGAAAACAGGGGAAAGAGAATAGACATAGTTAAATTCTCTATTTGTCAATATCGGTGGGCAGTTGTCCATTTCAACAAACTCCAGTTTGACAATTTCGGTGGCTAGCCTCTAGAATTATTTTTAGGCTATAAAATATATATTGTAATTTTTGGCTATCGGATGTTATAAGTTTGGCCCGAGTGGCTATAAATGAATTTTGCTCAAAATTAATAAAATCGAAACAAACAACAAGTAATAATAGAGATGTAAGAAATTTGAAAGCGAAATAATATCACACTGTAAGGAATTTTTACACGTTGAAGATGTATACAACAACAATCCAGTATAATCCCATTAGTGAGGTGTGGGGAGGGTAGTGTGTACGCAAACCTTACCCCTACCCTGGGGTAGAAAGGCTGTTTCCGATAGACCATTGGCTCCCTCCCTCCAACAACTACCCACCTTGCTCTTGGGATGACTCGAACCCACAACCTCTTAATCGGAAGTGGAGGATATTTACCAATAGAGCAACTCACTTTTGTCAAAAGGTTGAAGATGTATAATAAATTTTATTGTATATATTTTTTAAATAATTTAATAATTAAAAATAATTTATGGTAATGATGTACATAACTTGTACTCTTTTTTATATAGAAAAGGAGGGCATCACGTGGCTCAGCTGCTAGTGGATGCAAAGGAGTATTTATATTATCACTTTCTCAGTGACTAGGAATGTTTGTCATTTTCTGGTTCAATTTTCCTTAGCGGATGCAAAAGAGAATATTAGGAGCACTATATTTCTTTCACCAACCTCTTCTAAGATTGCTTGCACACTTATTCGTGGTTTGATTTGAGTAGATTCACCTAAAAAGAAACTAAAAGAATTAAGACGGTTTTTCAAATCTTAAATCGAACTAAATCAATTAAATCAATTTTTAAAATTCAAAACTAAAACTAAATCAAATAAAAAATAATTGATTTTTTCAGATTTGGTTGAACTTTCTGATTTTTTGATTTTTCATGAACACACCTACATTGGTGAGCAAGGTTGGAGCTAGAGCATCCGGTACAGGCTTGAATGAATTTAATAAATTTTGCTTAGATTTTGTATTTGTATTAGGAAATTTATTAATATAAATATTTAATCGTGCACCCGTTAATTAAAAGAAGCTATGAGTTCAGTGGCAAATTTAAACCTATAAACTTTAAATTCTGATTTCGCCTCTACTGTTGAGCACGTGCCTAATATGAGGTAGTTTGTGTAAGAAGTTTTAAACATTTCTTATTTAAAGTTCAAGTTTTTAAAGCTTAAAGATCCAATCTTATCAAGTTCTTTATAAACTCATTTTTAAATGTATGTATCTGACAACTTTAATATCATAGCCGAAATATAATGTTTCATATGATCGTTAAAAATAAAAAGAAAGACATATTGTCTGGAATAACGCAAGAATTATTAAGAAATTTTTATCTTTGTATACTTTTATCACTTCTATTTGCATCTTATTTCAACAGGATAGGAATTTTTTTCTTTTTTGATGTTTGATAAGCAAATNTGACTTTTGTACCACTTCTCTTTTTGGATATTTCAAAAAAGGTATTGACATGGCCTTTTTATTTGTGAGGCTCTCCTCTTTTTTTTTTTTGGAAAATTCCTTCGAATACATTTTCATGCATGGTTGATTTGAAAATGTTTTAGAATTTTTGTTTTCTTGTGAAGTGCTTGCCTCTTTAAGAGTATTTCCTTTGACCTTTTCATCCGTTTTTAAGCTTTTATCTACAAGCATTAATTCAAGATCAATTCAAAAACAAGAATCAAATGCTTACATTTGACAAGAAATTTGTCAAGGAACCCATGCACTCTGAGTTTCCTCACCTTGGTTTTGAAGATTCATTAATCCTTTTGTCAACCAAATTGCAGTTTCTCTAGAAGAAACAGCTTCTTCTCCAAATGGTTTTAGCACACCAGCTAATTCCTCTATCTTTTCATGCTTAAGTAACTCTGCACAAAGTTCAAGTAATGACTCTAGTGTTTCTGCCCTTTCATTGCTCATACTAATTCCCACATTGTTCTTCCCTTGTAACAAATTCAGTGTAGCCATTACTGAAGTCTCACTCGCTGCACGTTTGTGACCATCGTGTTTTTCTGTATCCCAATTAGTACTTAGATGATCAATGTCTTTTGCTGCAACTTCATTATATGGTTTTGGTATTCCTGGTTTCTTCAATGTGCATTTATTTTGCTCTTCTGGTTGAGATTTTGCATCTCTCTTGCCCTCAATAGGCCTATGATCTGATGGTTTATGCTTTTCCTGATTTGTTCCTTCAATTGTGTTATAAGTATCAGTGGTAAATTCTTTTGTATCAGCATCTTGTTGGTCAGTCAAAGTACTTATTGTGGAGCTTCTTGAATTAGTACTTCCACTTGTCTTGACAGATATGCTTTGTATTCAAACATGTCACTTCACGTGCGGACTTGATTCCTTTTTTTTTTATGAGACAAACACGTGGAAGTTGTTTTTGTTAATGGGAGGAGATGAGACTTTAACAGGAGTCAATTATGTGATTGTAGTCCCAGGTTCAATCTCCACCAACATCTTTATGATGGTCCTACCTAATGATCTTAATGTGTGCATTGCATAGTGCAAGTCCGAATCACAAGTTATCAGTATCAAATCTTTCTCTTCATCTTCATACCTGATCGACGAATTTCCAACTAACTTTATTCTCTTTTCTACTTCTTCTTCCAAATCCCTTTTCCCTGATGAAAATGAGAGTGGGAACCTCACTGTTCGATTTCCATAAGTTACCTTAACGCTTATGAAATTCTCACTTTGCATGGTAACATGCAATTCCTTTGAATTTGTTGCGGATTTTGGGCCACTTCTAGGAGAAAAATCAACATATTGTTGGTGTCTCACACCAGAATCTGAAGGTTGTCTATCAACTTGTAGTAACTCCGCTTGAGAGAGGGAGCAATTATGCTTTCTTGATTTAACACGTGGCCAACGGTAAATCTCATAGTCTCTACATATGCGCTTCAATGTACTTCGTGCAACTGCAATGAGAACATAAGTTTAGCAGCTCGAGTTACCAAAGAAGTAAAGTGAAAAAGGCGAATGTTAAAATCATTAAATTAAGTAAAGCATAAGGTTCAAGTGACTCTTAAGTGTAGTGCATAAGTTTACCCCCCAAGCTGTTAGCAGCATCAGTAAGCTTCTTTCCAAAATGTTGCTTTAGAACCTCCAGAGTTATTCCGTATTCTCTTTTTATCCTCTTCGTCTTGTTTTGCTTCTCCAAATCAGCATGTACTACATTCCTTTGGAGGTCCCTCGCATCAACTTCTACATCATCTACTTGATGATGTTCTGAACCTAGCTGCACAGTCTGTGTCCCTATCCCCAATTCCAATCCGGGTGGAGATCTAGCAACATCATCGTCTAAAGTAGGAGAATGTCTTCTGTTATCAGCAATACATGTTGTAGTTGTTTGATTCGAGTCTACAAGATTTGCATCTCCTTTATCCTTTGTAGCTGATAGAGGTTGGCCAAACTCAATAAAGTCGCGCACGTCAAAAAATGCATCAAGTTGCATTGTATCTCCATTATCCAGTGTAGCCACTGCGGCTGGTTGATATTGGTCTATTTCAAAAGAATTGGGCATGTCAAATAGGATACCAGATTGCATTGCATCTCCTTTATCCTGTGTAGCCTCTGTAGCTGATCGAGGATGACCTAATTCAAAAAGATCGAGCATATCAAGTGGAGAAATTTTAAATAACTTCAACAAACAAGCTCTTCCCCAGCTCTCATCCTGAACTAATCAAGAAACCTGGAAATTGCTCTTTTATTGTGGCTACTGGCTACTAGTGTATCCGAGTATCTCTTTGGATCCCTATTGAGCTTCTACTATAAAATTATTGTTTTCTAGCAATCAGAAGGCAAAATAGGCTGTTACTCCCTCAATCTCAAAACGGGCAATGGCGACATGTTTTCTTGCTTAATGTACAGATTGTCAGAACAGGGAGTTATACTCTTATGCTGTACCCGTGTATAGTGGTGCATTAAGGGTTTGTATTATATGCTCATAAGCTTGTAAATAGGATTTTGTATAAATACAAAACTGCTACCCGGTTTAGGGTAAGCACAATGTTAATAGAGTTCTGTGATGATACCAGAGCAAACGGAGGAGCAAAAAGAGGTTGCCTTGTTGGCTGAATCACCATCACATGTTGCTCTATCACCCCCTATTGCCCCTCCAATTATGTTATCAATGTATAGTGAACATATCAGATTCTAACCACATAATATGCATGATGTGACATGCTAGTTGCAAGTTAGCACAAGCCTTTTAATACTTACCACTTATGTGGATTCCAGATGCTCGATAAATACCATGTCCGCTGCCACTGGAACCACTAACTGCACCGTTAGAAGCATATACATCTGCTTTAACCATCTCATTTCCCAGAAAATTTACTGTCATGTTTCTTGTGACCTCAACCCTCTGTAAAGACCCTGCACTAACACTCATCACTCGTGAAATACGAAAATACAGCCAGCAGGTTACGAACTTGAAATGCTAAAATTAAGAAAGTAAGTTAAATTGCAACAAGTATCATTTTACCAGCTACTTGTGATAGTGCAACTTCTCCTACTTGTGCTCCCACGGTCACAGGATGACGTGATGATGTTAAAGCTTCAATATCCAGACCATGTTGCTTGACAATAGTCTCCATAGCCCTTGAACCAACAAAAACAGAAGTTAGGGAAGTTAAGCAAAACTGTCACAGCCAAGTCACACAAGTGTATCAAGAGCCCTAAACTGTATGCAGGCTCTTTTTTAGCAGTTTTTCTAGTTTCAACCATCGAACCACTGCTCAAGAATGCATTTGTACAGGAGGCATAATCACACGGGGAAGCTAGAGTTATACTGTGAAAATTACATTATTCATCGTAAAGGGAAAGCACAACATGAGAATGATTAGATGAAGGTTATTGAAGAGAGGGGGTCGGGACCAAATAAGGAGGGAAATATGCAAGAAATTCTGTAATGCTCTAAATATATGAATGGAGTTTAAAGCAAATTACCTTGCTATTACTTTAAAGGGCATTGAGTCTTCCTTCCCGCTGGATCTCATATGTTGTAAAATCTGAGTCATGAGTAGTACAACTTAATACGGGTAAATTACTCAAATTTTGGAAGGCAATACAACATAAGAGATGTAAACACACCACATAAAGCTTTGTAGCCATTTTTGTCGGCTCGTCTTTAGACTCTTGAATAAACTTACGCAGAAACTTTCCACCCTCCAGCTCAATATTATTTGGATTGTCCATCTTGTTCAGACTACACAAAATTGCAAAAGTCAAATCTGGCAGTAATAAAATGAAGCCCCCATTCCTTCATCGCAACATCCAAGCCAACACCACAAACAAAGATAACAAAAGGCGAATGCAAAATATTCACTTCCAAACTCCACCAGTTGCACCATTTTCAAAACAATAACTCAAATGCTTATCATCACTTATAGTTAGCCTCACACAATACTGAAACAAGCAACATTTCTAAGTTAGGGGATTATTGAGTAAGGCCGGCTTTCAAACACAAACCCATTGTATAAATTGGGTGCTCCTGAACAACTTTTTCATATCATTCAAGGCCATTGGATTGCTAAATCGACATACAAGAAGATTGTACCATACCTTTGAATTGCATTTCCTCTAGTACGAAACAACAAGAACAGCAACAACACAGTAAAATCTCACTAGTGAGGTCTGGGGAGGGTAGTGTATACGCAGACCTTACCCTAAGAGGTTGTTTTCGATAGACGATCGGCTGAAAAAAGAAGCGAAAATAGACATTATATCATTACCATCAAAAAAAAATTAATACACAGTGGTGGAACCAGGGAGTGTTCCCCTTTACCTATTTTAAATTTCATTCTATACATTCAGCCTGAGTAAGGTATGCATACAAACAACCCTCCCCACACTCATATTTTATTCTCTAAATTCAGAAATCCCTACCCTCCCCCCCCCCCCCCCC